TCCTGTTTTTCATTATGCAACTGTTTCTTTGGAGATCTGTATCTGTCCTGGCTTTCTGTGCTTCTCTTCAATTTTAATGGAAGATCCTATCAGCCTGTTTTAGATTGGAAATTTTGGGCAGCTACGGAGGCCTCAGAGAAATGGAAAGATGGGTTAGCGTAAAACAGCAATTCCAGTAGTAACACCCTCTGCCCCTTCTAAGTAGAAGAAAGCTCAAAAATATCTGATAATAAGCTTAAAAAACAACCTCTTCCTCATGAAAAATGTCTTCAAAAATTGCAAGATAGATTTCAGCATAATATTAGTTTGATCCAATATAAGACAGCTTCATATGGCCATAGCAGGCGGGAATAGAATGATCAGGACTCCAGATGTGATAAACACAATTATTTCACAACAGGGTCAATGTGTGAAACATGTGATAGACTCATAGCAATAATCAAGCTGTCTCAAAGTGGGCTATCTGAATCAATATGGTGTTTAACAGTAAGGAGAATTTTAGCATACATAAACCTTTGAAGTGTCTTATTTGCATTTGATCTCCAAGCAATTGTAGATTTTTTTTTGGCTGAAGATTGGCATAAAGTTGTTTAAATATACAATGGAAGGATCAAAGGATATGTGTATTAACACATTTTAGCCAAAAGTTCATCACAATGATTACCTTCCCTGCCTAATCTGTAAAGATCTGCCACAGCAGATCAGACTGAATGAATTGGCTTTTCTGGTGTTGAAAATGCATTTCCTATAGTTCAAGCTGTTTTTTGTTTTGACTTCCCTTTCAGTGGGCAACCTATACCCAGAGTGACTTATACTGAGGAAGAGAAGAAGACATGGGGGATAGTCTTTAGGGAACTAAAGACTCTCTATCCTACACATGCTTGCTATGAACACAATCATGTGTTTCCACTCCTGGAACAATACTGTGGCTACCAAGAGGATAACATTCCCCAGCTTGAAGATGTCTCAAACTTTTTGAAAAGTAAGTAAACAGTGGTTGAAAGTCTGATATAAATGTGGCTCATGTGTCAGAAGCAGTCAGTCTGCAATTCTGTTCATATGTTCCTAGGAGTAAGTAACTCAATGATTTCTGAGTCGGGATGCTGTAAATGAACTCTAGAACATGGCTAAATCTGGAATATGATTTCAGCCACATGGTGATCTAGAACTTTTCTGTTCTTTCAAGGCTGCACCGGGTTTCGCTTACGGCCAGTGGCTGGTCTTCTTTCGTCTCGAGATTTTTTGGCTGGCTTGGCTTTTAGAGTATTTCACTCTACACAATACATTCGCCATTCGTCAAAACCAATGTATACACCTGAACCGTACGTATTTGGTCTTAAAAAGCATACAGTTGTATTACAGCTGGAAGCCTAGAATGTTATGTATGATCAAAGGGAAGAGGACCGAGGCATTTTGGTGCACGAGACAAAAATGTACATATTGCTTTATAGTCAGTTTGTAGAAAATGTGCATGATTATTCTCCAGAGATGACTGGTTCTTGTCTAGAGGTCATGAATCTATAAGTTGGCACAACAAAGAACAAGAAAGAAAGGGAAGGGAGCCATGGTAGGAAAATATTCATTCAATTTGGTAACACTTGTATAGGTTGAACAAGGTAAATCAGGTAATCTGGTGTCCTCCAGATATCTTTGGCGAAAATTCTTGCAATTTCTTTCCCTTGGCTGGGTAAGCTTGAAAGAAGTCCAGAATATCTATAGCATATCACATGGCTTCTCCTAGCAGTAGTTTATTGAAATAACAGGACTCTTCCAATATATTTTCCCTCTCACAAACATACCCCATCAGAATGTTTTCATACTGGTTTATATCTTCTTTTAGTGATGTTTGCCATGAACTCCTAGGACATGTCCCCCTATTTGCTGACCCCAGTTTTGCTCAGTTTTCTCAAGTAAGTAAAAGCTATATTTTGATGTTGACAGTTAACAAGCAGAAGAGTTCATTCAAGCAGGAGATAATGCATTATCTCTCCTAGGAATCCAGAAACCTTTGAAAACCTGGATTTAGTCCCAGGCCTGGGGTTATTGCTTATTATTTATCTAAGGCCTCTGTTTTGTTTTGTTGGTTCTGTTGTTTATTAGATCATTTTAATCTGGGCTGTCTCTCTGATTTAATGTTTTTAGCTGTTTTACAGTTTCTTTTTCTAGTTTTGTATGCTACCCAGAGCCCATTGAAGTTGGGTGGCCAATAAATTTAAATAAATAAAGTAAATAAAATTATTGAAATACTAGCAATACCAATACTGTGACAGAAAGTTCAGTTTCATGAGTAAAGCTGCATTCCTATATACATTTCTGGGGAAATAAGTCCTATTGTGTCCAAAATATTTACAGGGTTACAGATTGATTCTATTTATACTGCCTACTGACCTAATTACAGAATTAACCCAGTTTTAGGGTTTGTTCCGTACACAGTTCACCCAAAAGTCTGGGTTTGCATGACCTGCTCACTCACTGCTGAGAAGAAAAGCCTACAGTTTAGAACCCACCAAAAGTTAAGGGTGCAGTTCTCTTTAATGATATTTGGAGGGCAATTCCCCCAGGCTGTCCCAGGAGGGGAGGGGACTGCTGAGGCAACAGGTGACTGGACAGGACCATTTTTTTCAAGCACTAAGAAAAAAAAAAGCAGCAGAGGAGAAAGGAAAAAACAGCTGTCTGCTTGATGCATAGACTGCCATTTTGGGAACTAAAATGCTCCTACATTCCTCTGTGTTCTATTTCTCAAGAAAAAAAAATCAGGTCTTAAAGAAAGAGCCCTGCGTTGAGTCATTTTTACTGCAATTAAAAAGTATTTCTTTCTTAAAAGAAAATAAGCTCCTGGTTTTAATTTTACACAAGGTTGCCATGTTATGTGAATGAAGCCCCTGAGTTTGTAACTTGGGTTTCAGTCCCAGACGGGGACAAGTGATGTGACCAATGGCTTAAAAATCATCCTTTTAGAGGACCTGCTGAGATCGTAAAGATTATTTTCTGTGAAGTGAAGATTCAATAGCATTTTGAAATATACAGTTGATAATTTTACATATATTGAAATGTCTAACTTTATCTTAAAGCAAAACTGTTAGGACTTGTTTTAAAGGGGGCAATTGTAACCACGGAAGTGAAGGCACACCCCTTTTTACACGTGTTGCGCATGTGGTTTTTTTTCATTTAAAAGTGACATATATCACTTTTAATGTTGGAACCAATGTTGGAAGGAAATGCAATGTACAACTAGAAAAGAGAAATATTTTTCTTGATAATTTCTCCCCCTATTATTTCATTCTCAGGTGCAAAAAGGGTGTGTGTGTAGGTAACAATAAAAATAAGAAACTGAAAATGTTTTGCTTTTACAGGAAATTGGATTAGCTTCTCTAGGAGCTCCAGATGATTATATTGAGAAACTTGCAACGGTAACTGTTGAATTCTGATTATAGCTTCAGTCATGTCCTGCAACTAATATGGAATAAAAGCTCTATGCTCATTGGTTTCAGAATTATCTTGAAACACTCCCTTGGAAAATAATTAAATTTTTACATGCAAAATATGTTACACAATACTATTAATGCAGCTAACCATTTTAAATCCATTAACTACTATAATGCTTATAAGCTTAAAGTATTACCTAAAATTGGCATCTTATATGCAGGTGAAGCAAATAGTAGGATTTTGAACGTTAGCTATATGCAAAGAGAGTGAGGCTCCTAGCCAGATAAACAACCAATGAATCATTATTCATTCCTAATGGACTCATCAAGAAAGTGTCCAGAACAAAACTTTCCTTATTTGATTCATTTTATTTCTTTTATTTAACTCATAGCCCTATTTTAGCATTATCTGAAACTCTGTATGCAACAGTTAACAATAATCTCTGTGCCTTATTTTATATCAGGTTTACTGGTTTACTGTGGAATTTGGCCTCTGTAAAGAAGGCAATGCAATTAAGGCCTATGGTGCTGGACTGTTGTCATCATTTGGTGAACTGCAAGTATGCATTCATGATTTCTGCAAATGAAGCTGGTGAATCTTTCTGCAAAATAAAAGTTTGACATAGTGATGTTTATATAGTTTTGTTTCAAATGCAACACAACTTAAATGTGGTAGGTTCTTTCTGGTTTCCTGTCATTTTCTTGGTCCTTGAAAGGCTTCTTATCCATATTTTCAAAGCACTCTAAGCCATCCTGCTTCTTGGAGAAAAAGCCACCATGACATCACTGCGCAAGCCACTTCTTTATTTTCCACTCTTGGGGGGAAAAGGAGTGCTCCAAAATAGGTCATCCATCAACAACAAGCCCTCTTCTGTCTAATTCTGAGCATGAGGGTGTTGCCAGGGTTGGAGTATCAGGTACAGACTCAGCACCCTGTAGCCTGGAGGGGCCCAAATTCATGGCGATATGTTGTCCTAGAAAAAATAAATAAATAAACAAAGTTCATGTACTGCTCCCTCTTCCTTCCTTCCCTAATGCCTTCTGGAGCAAGAAAGATACCATGCTATGCAGGCTCTCCTCAACCCTTTCAAAATTAAAAGAAAGAGAGAAAGAAAATATGTGAGTGATAACTACAAGATGGGTAGCTATCTACACTGATTAAATCAATCAATCAATCAACAAATAGGCCATTTATGACTCTTCAGAAATAACACCAGAGTGCTGATTATAAACTGTGGAGTTCACGTGAAAGAGAAAAGCATGATGATGTCAGAGTATATGGTGTGCCTGAAATAAATTTGACAAAGGAACCAGGGTAGGTTCAAAGTTCATTTCCATCTGTATTTTGGGGGGTAGGTTTTGAGTCTCTGCACTGTCTTTTATTTTTCTTCTTGTGAGTAGAAATGAGATTGACATATTCCTTATAGATATGTTAGAGAAATGAACAAAATAAAGATACGTTAGTTGTGAAACTATGTTGTTACCTATTCCAGGAAGGTCAGTATCAGTCCTATTGAACTGGATGGATTCCTCTGTGGCTATGCTGGTTGTTGGAAAGGACTGGCCAGAAGTGATTGGAGCCTGACTATGAGTTTTCAGACTGGTGCCTTCAGATGTATTGGACTACAATCTTCATTATTGCCAGCTAGTTTATCTAATAGCTTGCTATTTGGGGATAATGGGAGTTTTACTTCAATGCCATCTGGACATTGTCAGGTTGGAGGATGCTGATGAAAGAAGGTGGATCTTCTTCCAGCACATGAAGGCATCAATAAATCCAGAATATAATCCTTGTTAAATAAAAGATCAAACAATACTGCAAGGAAAAAATGGAGTGTATCTTTCCTTCTAAATGGAGTGTCCCTGTTTGGGGTTGCCGTCACATAATTCACTCTGCAAAGGCATTCCATCATGGCCATGTATTTTCTTTTTTTCAATGTTTTTTCTTAATTCTGTGGTTATGAGGATGCTCAGCTCTCAGATTGTTTGTTTGTTTTGGCTTGATATTTTGGCTCTCTAGATTACTTTGTTTGCATTTCTAAACTCCTAAGACATTTCTCTGTATACTCGACCACAATCCAATGACACTCCTCGTTCACGTTCAGGATTAGAAAGAATTATTAGAACTTATTAAGGTTAAACTGTGGCAACAACAATCATTTCTATTTAAAATAAAAACCCTTCTGTCTTTTTCCTTTAGTACTCTCTGTCAGATAAACCTGTCACTGAACCTCTCATCTTGGAAAAGACTGCAATCCAGAAATATCCAGTTACTGAATTCCAGCCTATTTACTATGTGGCTGAAAGTTTTGAAGATGCAAAACAAAAGTTAAGGTAGGATTTGGTTAGATTACTTGCAAGTGGTTTCATGGATATCAGTACCATTAATTTACCTGTCAGCTACCTTAGTAATTTTTTATTTGAAGGAGCATTTATAAAGCTATCAATAAAATCTCACCTGTGAGGTAAATGATATGTCAGAGAGGGTGGGGCAAGGGATACACAACAAGAGAAGACTGAGAGACTGAGATTGCAGGAAGTACATGAAAAAGCGAAAACAAATAAAAGAATCTCTGTTTTGTCCCCATATCAAAGGAAATGCGTAGCTCACACTCCACCTCTAAGATATGCATAATAGTTTTCATTTATTGCACAAGATCTCAGCTTTACCTTTCATCTTTCCATTTCAAACAAATTATAAAATTTAGATTTTCCAGCTTTAAAGGATGGCATTTCCCAAAAATCTGAACATATGGCTGCATTTAAATGTTTGCTCTGTCCTACAGAAAATATGCCTCAACAATTTCACGGCCATTTTCAGTCCGCTACAATCCGTATACTGAAAGAATTGAAGTTTTGGACAACATTAAGCAATTAAAGAATTTAGCAGATGCCATTGGCAGTAAGTACCCAGATTCAGAGCTTTGGATGGGTTTGTTCTGATGTTCACCAAGAATCTCTTATATATGTGTCTTGCCCATTCCTTTTATTCAGCTAACAGATCCTTGTGTACAAAGAAATGTACATTTGACATCCTGTGCACTTTGAAACTTCAGGTACCATATGAGATAGTTGGAATCAAGTATCATGACTTTCATGTTCATAATAAATTGAAAACATTACTCTTTATTCCAATTCTAGTAACATATTTTTTAAAATATCCAATTACTTTCGTGATTGGATTGCAGTGACTGCTGTATTCATTCTCTCCTGGAATTCAGAGGAGTTTCCTAATGCATGTATTTTTGTAGATATATCCATTTCTGCTGTTTATCAGCCTGAACAACATCTTTAATAGCTTTCTGTACTGAGCTCAAGATCTGAAAAAGGATTTATTTATGGTTGTTTGTGCATAAAAAAAATGTGCGTCTGGTAGCTTCTATGTTGTATCGAATCTATAGACAATAAACTTACAGTTGTAGCACAGTTGATCACCTCATTGTTTTTCTTCTTCATAAGTCATGCAATACTTTTCTCCAAACACATATATTGAATAGTGGGTGCTTTGCATTCTGCTATATGTCCTTTTTTGTTTTTAGAGGTAGCCTTGGTTAGCATGCTGAACTTAGACTGGGAAAGCTTATATTCCAGTCTTGCCCAGCAATCTCTGAGTCACTATCTCTACTGTCAGGGTAAAATGGGGATGACTCCATATGCACTGCCTTGTACTCCATGAAGAAAAAGTTATCATGCAAATGTAATAAATCTAGAGCAAAGTAAACCTTTTATTTTCTTGATTTCTTTGCAGATGAAATGGAACTTCTTTGCAATGCTCTCCAGAAGATAAAGTAAAAGAGATACATCTGGGCTCGTCTTGTTGGCTCTGAAAGCCGTATAGCAAAAGGGATACCTTGTAACAAACGAGAGACATTTCTTTAACGAAATCAGTTTGCCCATAATTAACATATAGTGAGGAAATGTAACAAATATCTAATATCTAATATTTTTATATATCTATAGGTAAATCCCTGTCCTCAGATTTTGATATGATCATATAAATGTCTACAAAATTAATATAAATAACTTTTCAGGTAGGAGCTAGGCCTTTCAAACATGATTTCTATATTATTGTATTTATATTGTTGTTACAGTAATATGTGGTATAAACAAATGCAACTTATATAATTGAAAAAGCAAAATGTAGGAAGATAGTAGAAAAGATAAGCATACTCAATTCATCTTTTATTCAAGAGCTATTCTTTTCTGAAGTGCATTTAATCAACTTAACACCAGCTTTTATTCTTTCCAACCTAATATAATGTTGGAAATAAATCATGTGAAGTGGGTCAAGACTCTGTCAACAGGACAACTCTCTGAAAATTGTATGGAATGGGACCAAATTTGGTGTAGGAGAAGAGTTGGCAAAAGAAAGAATGAAACTGAAAATGGCTACATAAGATCAGGGC